AACTATTTTATTCCGCGATACAGCTGGTTGTTGTATGGCCGTCAGTCAGTGCAAACATGAAGTAACACGTATAGATCTAGTGCTACATCTCTTGGGGTATAAAATAATGATATAAAACATAAGGGAATCTGGGATCCGAACACTTGACAAGCGGATGTTCGGACGCAATTCTTCGCAACGAGATACGGCGTAATGAACCAGAGGGCCAGTTCCAGGACGCTTCATCGGTTAGAGAGAGAGAGAGTCCCTCCTGGACACAAAGTGAAGGACTCACTTCCGGCTTAGGTGCCCTTTGATGATGCCGGCGGCCAGGTGTTCCACGTGCCGAGTCTGAATACTTCAGTACGTTCAAGTAAATAAATACAAGTCGCCATTACAAGACTGGGAAAGTCTGATCTCCTGTAAAACCTAAACATCCTATGTACACATAGTCTTGACTTAATAATGTTGAGTTGAGTTATTCGAACCCTCGATCATAGGTTTTTGGCGTGTCCAAGAGGCACAATTCAGCACAGCGGCGCCCTATACAACTGGGCCACCCGTGCCTCCGCAGAGGTAGATATGTTTTTTTTAAACATGGCATATATTTGAAGTGTTTGAGGCAAAAATCTTTTTGAGCTCGATTCAGCTGTTTTATCGTTTTATCTTGCTATTGCTATTGTTGTCCTTAATATTATCGGGGAGTCAGGATAGGATGAACTCCCGCATCCCACCTAAAGGGGGACAGCGTGCCACCGTTAGCTGCCCTTTTCATTCTAGGTAAAGACGTTGACTCGAGGCAAGTGGTCAGTGGTTTTCAATGCTACAGGGAAGTTGCGATTTCAGTTATTTCGTAAAATGCCAAGACATTTCGTGCCCATATCTATGTTTATAGTGATATATTTGTCCCCACTGGCAATGACGCACAGAATTAAGCGACCTAGTGTTCATATCCTGGTATATGTCTTTTGCAGAATCGGACATTGACTGTTGTATGGGTGAGTGCAGCTAGTCACAGGAGAGAGGGCAGCTGTATCCTGTAGGCACCACCCAGGGGAGAGCTATCGACGGAGACTTGGAGAGGGGGGAGCCGGTCTGAGAACATGTTGTAGGAGATCCCATAGTGCAGGTTCTGGGGTCAGACTTGCCCTATGTGCTATTGGGATGTGTCTAGGTCAGTCCCAGGGGTAAGGGGTCAAGATTCAGGGGGTTGAAAATTAAAGGTGAATCATCTTGCGGCCTGGGTATACAATGTATAATTTTCCAAGATAAACTGTCTTCATTGAGATCTGTTTTTTTTAAATTCAGTATGAAAATAACAAATAACATTTATAATGATACTGTCGCTTCACTTTTAACTTATTGCCTTAAACATTTGCATGAACATTCTAAACTGATTATTCACGTCGAATCTGCATAACGACTGTACGTACACATACATGTAAAGGTATTACTGATATACGGGGTCACACTCAACCTTGTGTGACAGCCAACGTTTCTCTGCGTCGACAGGCGAGCACGATTTAGGACACGCCACACACAATTAGTTTGCAACTAATTACATACTAATGGTTTGACGTTTCACCTCAATTTTCCACAGGGTACCTGGATTATGTGCATCACACCCAGATAAAAATCCTCGCCCAGGGGCATCAGGTGACGAATCCAGTTTCTCCCCAAGGCCTAAGTCCCGTGTCCTGTCGGAGTAAATACCAGGGTCAATATTGATTCTGACCCATATGTCTGCTCCATGACATGGTACCTGTTTCCTTGGAAAGTTTCCAGCTTGTAGTAACTGGAGTAGGTAGTATAATAAATTCAGATTGAAGACATTATCTATTCAATGAAGCCTTCAATATGTCCAAATAAGTGTTTTTCAGATGTGTTTCAAACTCGACAACGTGTTTGAGCAATTGTATGTAACTGGATACCAGCGCTATATATATATATATCCATATATGTATGTATGTAATGTGTATAACTAAGATAACAAACTCCACATATGAAATATATTTATATGTTACAGTAAAAGTGTAAAATGACTGAAATTTTCACTTGTGCAATTTACTAAACGCCAAACAGCTCAGTCAATTTACAATACATCCTTCCATTCATTATGTTATGATAATGAAATTCCAAACATGTGTATGCTCTCTGTCACATAAATCTTGTTATGTATGTATGAAGTAAAACGTGTCATACTAATGTGTACACAGTGATGGTCATAAGTTGGGCAACCATACAGACTGCAAGCCACGTAAAACATGTCATGCAAATGTCCCAAATAACATTTTACACAAAAAATTAAATCCTAGCTATTTACTTCATGACCCAGTCTATGACAATAAAGCGGTTGTTTCGTCACTATAACTCCCAACTCTCAATTTACAAATTATATAGACCTTGAATTCGATTCAATTATTTGCATATGCCATTGTCAAACTTTACATTTGAAATGAGTTTAGTCTATTGCCATATAGCCTAAGTTAATGCTTATTGTCCACTTAAAGATGTTTTATTTGTCAAATGGCTGTGTATATGTAACATGGAAGGATTAATTTAAGACTGGAGAATATGTCCACACTGAAACTCGTAAAGCATTTGAACCAGAACAAGCTGACACAAGTAATCGTAACGGGGAGACTTAATGGTGCGTTAAATGAGTTGTCTCTGCACTCAGATTTCATAACAAATCAACAAATCTAACAGCAGTAAAAACATCCAATCTGTGCCAGCAGCTAATGCAATGTGGATCGTAAAGCATTGTTCTGGGATGTATAAGATAGAAAATGTTAAAGGATATTACTAGTATTTACAAAACAGAACAAAACTGATTGATAGATGTGATCCTCAAAAAATCATGTATGGCTGATTGTCATTGCAGGTATACTCTTCCCTTTAAAAAGAAGAAGATTTGTTTGGACACTTGCTGAATTAACATGACTATACTATAACACACGCATTCGTGTAAATACTTTACTTATTTCCATCTGCATGCCTTAAGCATGTTGTCATTAGAGTGACAAAACAAGTGGTTACAATGTTAACATGCTGTTTTGATGTCAGTAGCAGGATGAGCCTGTCTGTTTCTCCACCTCACGGTTTTACCTGACGATGTCGGCGTCATTGATGTTTCTATAAGGTAACAAGATTCAATCAACCCTGGATAAGGCCTTGTGGGGTTAAGCAATTGTGGTTTGATCAAATACAGATTACCATTTGTCGGTTTCCTGTTTGCTTAGTCTCCTAATTTACCGGTAAGGAACAACCAGCTTTATTAAGCAAGCAATGACGAACATTATCCGATCTTGTGAATTGGCTTACCTGAAACCGCTTATCTCCCTTTACCATTCTCCCGTCAGAGGATGAAGGTAAGTAAGATGGCGACAGAGCGGACTTTACTGCACGCGACAGACATTCAAATCCAATTTCACAGAAGGCCGACTTAATACCTTTTAATATGCATATTATATATATACATTTATATTTATTTATATAAGGGATACGTAACAAAACGAAAACTACCACACAGTTCTACATGTCTACCTTCATGCCATCTTGTCGTGTACTTTATTTCATACATCAATGATGTAGTTCTAATGAAAATAAAGGGTAATTGATTGGAATACCTTAACGTTGTTTTGTTTGTTGTTTTACATCATTCACAACGTACGTGTATGAATCTCTTCTTGTCAAAGCCTTGGTTTATACCAGATTGATTTGATGAGCATGTGGATGCTTTTGAAGATAAATTTTCACGATCATTAGGTCTTGAACCAATTTACACTTAATACTACATGGATTCAAGGTTATCATTTTACATTTATGATCACTATTCCAATATCCCCACATCACACTATGTCACTCCATTGAAACAGGCCAACATCCACGAGCTGAGATATTGATTATGTTTGTTGCTGCTGCTGGTGTAAACCAATGTGCATGTTTATGTATATAATCGGTTACATGCCTTTGGGTGAACGTTTAGGAAAAATAGCAATAATTTTCTTACTGAAAGAATGGCTAATGTTCACAGGTGTCCACAATGCTAGAAATTCCGCCGGATGTAATATGGGTTCGAGGTGACAAACGTGTTTTCAACTTATGTTACTTTTATACATTAATCCAACTTAAACAAATGCAAAAATATACGATGAGTCTAAACTATGATCAATTCATAAAAGGGGTTAATAACCGATAGTTCTTCTTCTGTCCTGGCATGTTCACAAGCATGTATAAGTGGATTTGTTTGATATTTAGGAAATAAGCATTTTGTGTTTTAGCGTAGAGTTGGTTAACTGTAGATATAACCATGCAAAATTGAATTCTGAATAAAAGGAGATCACATTGAAAAGGCAAAATGGTTCGAAACAAGACATGACATTGTTTCCTTTGAATTCTTATTTGTATTCACCAAAAGCTTGCAAGTGTCACTATCGGGTGTATGTAATAGATCTAGTACTGACACAACTTCTCTGTCTATCTCAGCGCGCAAGCAGATACTCGAGTTCAACAGACTATACCGTGACTGCAGATCGCACAAACTCCACCATCACATTCGGATCAGATTGCACGATTTCATATAAACTGTCCGGTTCATGCAGTCACGTTTGTTGTTGAAGGCCTGAATTATGTATGAATGTACACGTTTCACGAAGCTGGAATACTTTCGAATACTTTATCAGTGTAAAATGTACTCCATCATCACAAAACAGTGACTATCCATTGGACAAAAGTATTTGCCTCTGCTCTAAGGGATACTTGTAGCTGAATCGGCTTGTACACCACAAGGCAGCAGGTCTCAGGGTGCACACGACAGAGGTGTATAAAATACAAATGTACAAATAAGTCTTGTTAATTTTATTTATTTTATTTCTATATTTAGTTCATGTTGTACATTATGTATACATACGTATTTTACCTGAACGCAACATATTGTTACTGTAAGGCAATATATACGGTATGTTTTCAGTCAAATACACACAATACACATTTGACAATACAGATATGCTATTGTCAGTAGTATTGCCATCATATTCAAAGCCACGAATTTTCTGTCATGCGCCAAATGTTGAATCAACTTATATTCCTATATAGCACTTGTATACATCAGTCTTCGTTATCGCACCAGCAGGGGTGTGTCCACACTAAGCGTGGTATGATCTCGTGGACCTTGTGCCCCAACTCTGACTAATGTCGTTTGAAGAATCTGTCATTGACTGTTGCATGTGTGGATACAGGTAGTTGCAGGAAGGGTCAGGTATACTTAAACTGGGTGAGGGAACTTGTGGCGTGTATGTTCCGCCCAATGGAGAGCTTCCCGGTGGTGAGCTGGAGAGAGGGGAACCGGTCAGAGAACTGTTGATGCTGCTGGCGTTGTAGTAGCCGGCTGTAGGAGGAGAGTAGCCTGTAGGAGATCCCATGGTCCAGATACAGGGGTCCGGTTTGCCTATTGTGCTGTAGGGGTGTGTCTGGGTCAGTCCCGGGGGTAAGGAGCCGAGGCTCAAGGGGTTGAAGCTTGTGTAAGGAGATGGACCCCCATACAACCCCAATAACTGTCCGTAGGGACTGGCAGGATGGAAGGAAGGATCTTCTCGACGTTGCTTTTGTGCCGACTTGAAACGCTTAGAACGACGGAGGAAACTGCCGTTACCAAACATGTCCCCACAAGAAGGATGCAGAGCCCACAGGTTACCCTTGCCTGGTTTCCCCGGGGGTCGGGGCACCTTGACGAAACAGTCATTGAGGGAGAGGTTGTGTCTGATGGAGTTTTGCCATCTTCGTTGGTTGTCTTGGTAGTATGGGAATCTTTTGACGATGTAGTTGTAGATGTCGTTGAGAGTCATCATGCCTGTTGTGGAACTCTCGACGGCCATGGTGATGAGAGCCACATAGGAATAGGGAGGCTTCTTGTTGGAAAATCGTCTGTCTTGTTGTGAGAGGGTGGATGTTCCCGAGAAACCGTCCCCTTCTCCGTTCGAGGATACCGATGAGGTAGGAGACGGAAGAATGTTGTCATAATTTGGAGATCCTTGTTGCGTGTGACCTGATCCATGTGTGATCAGGGATCTGACGTCTTCTCCCTCAGTAGCTCCAGATGTCTGAGACACGACTGGGACGGAGTGTTGAGAAGATATGGAGTGAGCAGATTGAAGAGGTGTCATCTGCTGTCCCATGAAGGGAGACGTATCTGGGACATACTGGAACATGGATGGGTTATACATGATTCCTGACTCAATGTGCAGCAGGTGAGAAATGTATTACCTCAGTAGGCAGAGGAATGTTTATCCCCCTCGTCACAGCGAGGTTTATAGTCCCTGGTCAGATAATCCCCTCAACACGCGCTTTACAGATCTCAATTGCCTCTAGATTAAGTAGCCATTGATATGTAAATGACCGTATGTCGTCACTGATAATGGGCGTCGCTCTAAAACATGTTTCAAAAGTTTTTAGGTACGATTGGTCAAGAGCTATAATCCCGCCTTTCACTTGTGAGTTGCATTACAGTATATGAAATATGTGCTATTATTCGCAAGAAAGACGTTACATCCAACAGCGTGCTCATAACGATGACGGAAAGTAATTAAAAAACACTAGATTACAATAAGTGTGTTAATGGTTAAATAGTTGTAGCATGGATTCCTTTCGAAAGGCTTATAGACTTTGAAGATATCGAAAGAAAAGGCACCTCACGTTTAGTATTTATAGAAGTGGGTATAAAATATGAACAATCTTGTGACTTCTACTTGACAGTGGGAGTGTCACCATGTTCAGTATATGTATATTGTGGACGAGGAACCGGTTGGTTCAAGTCTAAGTAAAGTTTATGTTCTGTTCTGTTCAGTACATAGCTGACACCAAAAATCGTATTGGGTAGACATATTGTTGTTTTCTCAAGGATTGTCACCAAGCTTATTGATATCCCAACAAATCAAAACCACACTATCAAGGGCTGTCAGTATCGGTCATCACAAATACAACAACAACCTGTCGGTGTTAAAAGCTCAAATGTAGGTGGTTGTATTGGCATTGCTACTGTGTGCAATACTCGAAGGTGGGGACGTGCCCAATATTACACCATAAGATGATTTTGTTTATGTTGACATTGATTATTAAAAATACATTTGTCTAACATAATATAAAACCACGACAATAATATACTATATACGTTTTATTATGGCTGCAGATAGAATATGGCTGATTTCGGCGTTAAAAGACAATGTAAACAATCAACTGTGTATAGTTCCGGCTGCAGACAGAGTATCTCACAGCATAAATATATTAGTGTAAAAGGGGTATATAAAATATACTACCGGTCACTAGCCATATAAAATATGTTTTCTTCGTTGGAGAATTAAAATGTAGGTTTGGGCTGTGTAATATACATAATATTTAAAAAGTAAAATAAGTTTATCAGTATTAATAACTCTAGTAAGTTGGAATAGCTAAAACTGACCTTTGCGTATAAACCTTCACGCAAATCATCGTACACAGGGCAATCCAACAATACATGACATTCATCCCCAACACTTTCCTGACACTGAAAACACACTCTTTCATTCACATTCATATTCGAATATCTGCCTGTTTCCAACTTCAGAGCAGCAGTACCCGATCTAAGAAGGCAGAGCGGTTTAGAACGAGGCATATACATACTAACATAACTTTCACACCCATACACATCTTTAAACATTCTATACGTACGTAAGTTGTTACCACCCGTTCTTCCGCCAGGCTTGCATAACAGTTCATTCCAATCAGTCACATAAATTCCCATGCAGATAACCTGCACACCTGCAACTACACTTTTCACGCTCACATTCTCTGAAATATTCAACCCCCATTCGTTCAGCTTTGCTCTTACACGAAAATTCCAGTTTTTCACACGTACACCAGCATACCGTTCAGACCACATAAAACATACTTATTTAATCTAAGGAGGTTCTAGTAAAACGACAAGACTGTCTAACAACACACATCCACTGTCTAACTGTCGGAAGAATCCATCCCATATCTCCATTAACAGCAACATTTGGAGCGTATTTATCCAATCCTAAGAAAAATCTCAAAGCACGATGCTGAACGGCATTTACAGTAGAAATGTCACGATGACCCCAGATAGATGCCCAAAGATTCAAGACTGACCAAACCATCGTATCGTACAATTTGGAATAAGTAGTGGATTGCACACGTCCGATTGCCTTAGCATTGTAGTCAAAATGTGTGAGTGAGGTTGGTTTAACACGGCTTTGACACTACATATATGCTGTCCATTACATAGTGCTGTACTAAGTAAACAAATGATAATTACAATCTCAAAATGAGCCATAAAATGACCATAGTCACCATAGGCTGTCTGAAAGATGTACATCACACCCTGTAGTATAACCCCTCACCCAAGGGCGTCAGGTGACATATCCGCGGACACCAGTGTCTTCCCCGGGTCTATGTCCTGTAGCTATAGAAGTAAGCACTAGGGTCAATATTGATTCAGACCCGTACATGCTTTCGAAATATGCAGATATTTCAGTTAATTCACAAAATGCACATATCTACACATATCGACACATATGCACAATGTATAATTAACATATTCGAGGTTATAAAACCCAAATTAAACTATACGATTATAGTGTCAAAAGTAAAATTATATAATTCTCTTATCGATCGGGTACAATATTTTGCTTGATGCTTTGACAGATACAGATATCAATAACATGCTGTGATTAATGGCACTGAAAGAACAAGACATGCGTTGCAAGGAGTTCCAGTATTCCAAAAGATCAAAGAAGCAGGACTAAGCATGCACATGTAAATTTCCGACAAAACAAGTCACCCACATAGGGCATATTTTCAGCAAAGATGGCATCCATGCCAATATACTTCAAAAATAGATTCAGTCACACAGATCCCACCCTCTAAAAATGTCCATGACGTGTGTCACTTCTTAAATTTGGTCTCGTATGATCACAAATTTGTAACACACCCTTCTTGCAACGCCTCCCCCTCTTTACAACCTTCTGAAAAAAGACGCGTCTTTCAAAGTGTGGCAAATTAGGGCAACTTGATTCTCATGGCGTAACTTGGAGTGATGTTTTTAATTCACGTCTTTTGAACATACAAGAATCTTCCTGTTCTGTTTTTAGGAACAAACAATGTTGGGTTACAGGCATACTGTCTCTCTGTCAAAACTTTTGTGTGACACTGTATTGATCAGGATGTCCATATTGTGATCGAGACTTTTTTTAGGCTGAGCTAAAAAAATATCAGGTTGATAAGCAGATGGAGGCTGAGTTTTTTTTAATGAAACAAAATTAAGCCGCCCCCCGTGCCCCCCTAGAAATGACACAATCAAATGACACAAGTAATCGTAACGGGGAGATTTAATGGCGCATCAATTGAGTTGTCTCTACACTCACAGACATCACAACAAATCAACACCATGCTCTGTCATATTGTCAGCACATGTAACAGCAGTAACAACATCCAATCTGTGTCAGTAGCAGTGGATGTGCGGAATATTATTCTGGGATAGTAAAGGTATACAATCTTACAGGATAGTATTTTTAATGCTGAACAAAAATGACTGACTAAGCTGGCAAAATAGAATTGAATTCCCTGACTGAATGCCATCATATTTTTCTTTAAACAAGAATACGTGTTCTTTTCTTTAAACAAGAAGACGTGTCCATGATTATGCTACATATGAATACACTTGATATGTTTCTAAATACTGAAAGTTTATTAGAACACAGAAAGCTAGCACAATTAGTAAAATTAAAAGTTGTATGTAGTATATACTGTATGTATAAAATGTAGTATTACACACGCCTTGTGTCAATACTTTACATCTGTCCATAAGTATGTTGTCATTAGAGTGTGGTTATAATGCTAGAGTGGTCAGAAGCAGGGTGAGGCGAATTTGATGACTACACGAGTGACCAAGTCACTCAACCCTGGATTGGAGCTTGTGATGCGAAACTGGGCCGCTACCAATTGTGGTTTGCCCAAAAGATTACCTTGTCCAAACCTAGCATTGGTTAACCAAATATTCCAATCAATTACCCTTTATTTTCATTAGAAGTTCATCATTGATGTATGAAATAAAGCACATGACAAGATAGATATGTAGAACTGTGTGGTTGTTTTGTTTTGTTTTGCCATAACAACACATAAATAAATCGTACTTATTATCAAATAGAAGAAAGTGCCTTTCTGACATTTCTTTCCTTTAAAAATAATGGCATATTCTTACATTCTTAAAGTGTTGTTTTTTTATTTCTTCACGTAAGACGTGCTAAGTGTACATACTATTACACACGTCAGTACTTTACTTATTTCCATGTACACGCCTTAAGCATGTTGTCATTAGAGTGACAAAACAAGTGGTTACAATGTTAACATGCTGTTTTGATGTCAGTAGCAGGATGAGCCTGTCTGTTTCTCCACCTCAAAGTTTTACCTGACGATGTCGGCATATTTGATGTTTCTATAAGGTAACAAGATTCAATCAAATCTGGATTAGGGCTTGTGGGGTTAAGCAATTGTGGTTTGATCAAATACAGATTACCATTTGTCGGTTTCCTGTTTGCTTAGTCTCCTAATTTACCGGTAAGGAACAACCAGCTTTATTAAGCAAGCAATGACGAACATTATCCGATCTTGTGAATTGGCTTACCTGAAACCGCTTATCTCCCTTTACCATTCTCCCGTCAGAGGATGAAGGTAAGTAAGATGGCGACAGAGCGGACTTTACTGCACGCGACAGACATTCAAATCCAATTTCACAGAAGGCCGACTTAATACCTTTTAATATGCATATTATATATATACATTTATATATATTTATATAAGGGGTATGTAACAAAACGAAAACAACCACACAGTTCTACATGTCTACCTTCATGCCATCTTGTCATGTGCTTTATTTCATACGTCAATGATGTAGTTCTAATGAAAATAAAGGGTAATTGATTGGAATACCTTAACGTTGTTTTGTTTGTTGTTTTACATCATTCACAACGTACGTGTATGAATCTCATCTTGTCAAAGCCTTGGTTCATACCAGATTGATTTGATGAGCATGTGGATGCTTTTGAAGATAAATTTTCACGATCATTAGGTCTTGAACCAATTTATACTTAATACTACATGGAATCAAGGTTATCATTTTACATTTATGATCACTATTCCAATATCCCCCACGACCTTCCTCAGGCGCCTGATAATTGTG